TCTTGATCGGCCTCGCCGGGTTTTTGATTGCGTTAATCGCTATTTCGAGACAAGGATTCGGGTACAAATGTGAATCCAAAGAGCCCAGATCAGTTTCGGTTGTCTGGGATAGAAGCAGCGGGAGGCCGAGCAGTGGCGGTGTTGATGGAGAGCGAAAGAGACACAAAGTAATGGGCTTTGTCGGGGTCCAAACTGGGTTCACGTCTGCAGCTCGCCGGCGGGCCCTCCGGCAGACTTGGTTTCCCTCAGATCACCAAGGGCTTCAAAAGTAATCCTGCACCCCATTTTTGAATTTTATTTTGCTTGTGTTTGTGCGTGCTTTGCTTCTGCATCTACTTCTACTTCACCTGCTGAATGAAGTTCATGCAGTTTTTTCTTAAAGGCTTTTCTAGGTAATGACTTTTGTATACTACAGCTTATGCTATTACTGGGAGAATGCAATGCTAAAGAACACCATTTCGCACCAAAATGGAAGAGACTGGTTTCAAGTATTGATGCTGTGATTATTGTATGATGAGTTGAATTCCAAAGTTGGTAGCTTTTAAATTGATTTTGGTATAGTATGTCACTATGTCAGTAAGGTTGGCACCCATCAATATGAAACTCTAGATCTTGATTACATTAAATTAATGGGAAAGTTGGATTTTTTACACCCTACTTATTCATTCAAATAAGTTTGAATCCAATTTTTGAAATCATAAATATATTTGTAGTCCAACTTTGATAATTGGCACCCTTTGTTTATACCAAAACTGGGTTTGCACCATTTATAAAAGTATTTTCTAAGGTGGTGTATGACCTAGAGGCCACTGTTTCAAGTCTCAGGAATGACCTCTTGTTCCCCCTGTACACCCTTGTGGGGATGCATTCGTGCACCGGGCTGCCCTTTTAGTGTTCAGATATAAATGATCCTGAAAGTCTATTTTTTTCAAACAGAAGTTTGCAATGCAGATGGTTGTACATGGAAACCCAGTTTCTCTAAATGTTCAATAGACTCTGTCAAATGCTGTTGTTATATTACATGCACACATACATTGGTTCCGTATGTATTATGTGATTCTTCCCATTAATACAATTATAAATGTGATATTAGACTACAAAATAACTGGGGGAGGATATTTTGATGAATAAATGTTCTCTTTCGGTGATTGTCATCATGCATGGTGTAGAACTTGATGAATTTGGTCTAGAAGTCTAACCATGGGTTAAAAGTTGTGAATTCTCTTTCATTTTGATGAATTTGGTCTAGAAGTCTAGAACTAATTATAGCATCCAATTTTTTGTATTTACTCATTCAATATTCTTGTACTCCGTATTTGTTAAAAGTTGCGAATTTTCCACCCTTTGCTGTGTCCAAGCCCAAGAGGACATATTGTTATGTGTGTTTAATTTCTTGTTGGTAACTGATACCTTTTCCTGAACTTCAGGCTGGAAGAGTCTACTGGTTTGGCTTTTAGGTTTATCATTGGTAGAACTAGCGATAAATCAAAGATGTCAGAGCTTAGAAGGGAGGTTTCACAGTATGATGATTTTGTGCTGTTAGACATTGAAGAAGAGTACAGTAAGCTCCCATACAAAACGTTAGTTCTGAATAATCACACGTCATCTATCAGAATCTTATTTATGCGATTTACACTAATTTAAATTTCATTTACAGTTTAGCTTTTTTCAAAGCTGCATACGCGCTTTATGATTCAGAGTTTTACGTCAAAGCTGATGATGACATATACTTACGACCAGGTTTCTAACATCGTCAAGTTTTACTCATGCTTTTTTTGCAATTTGAAATCTTTTTGCATTTTAATCAAGTAGTTTTTTTATCTTTTCCAATTAACAGATCGCCTGTCTTTACTATTGGCCAAAGAACGCTCTCACTCACAGACATACCTTGGGTGCATGAAAAAGGGCCCAGTTTTCACTGATCCTAATCTCAAATGGTTTATCAATAACTGGATCCCAATAAGACTAGCTTTGATAAAAACTATAGTGTTTGGATTTCTTACATATTTCCTGTGTCATGCAGGTATGAGCCATTATCGAAATTGCTTGGAAAGGAATACTTTTTACATGCTTATGGTCCTCTTTATGCTCTTTCTGTTGATGTTGTTTCTAGCCTAGTTGCACTTAGGAACAACAGGTGAGTGTTCCCTGAAATTTATGTCATACTATGAGCAAGAAGATTATGTTTATCGTATTGATAGTTGATTAAGAAAGATCAGGTGGACACTGCTGATATCATTCTCTGTAAATATCTCAGTTTCAGAATGTTCAGCAATGAAGATGTTACTATTGGCTCTTGGATGCTTGCAATGAATGTCAACCATGAGCATGATCAACAGCTATGTCAAACACAGTGTACCGCTACATCTATTGCTGTATGGGATATTCCCAAGTGTTCAGGTTAGTATTTTGATCCACTTGATTAGAAGTTCAGCATTCAGTGGCTGTAGTTCCAGTAGCTATTACAATTCCCTGGCCGCCTATGTCCATATTTTGTTCTTCATATTGTAAAATTAGTTGCTTTGCATTTCCACATAAATATGTGATGTGTCTATAACGTGTTGTTTGTATGTGTCATTCTATGTATATCATGATTTTTCTTTCCATTTTAGTTTTGTGACTATTGTGGCAAATATATTTTCGGCATCTGTCTTTGGATTTTTCTAGGCATCTCTGTCTTTGGATTTTTCTAATCTTCAGTTCTCGAGACACTTTTAGTTTCTGTATTTGAATTTTGGAAAATGCTACAAGTACAATCAAACTTGCATAAAAACTTACGAACAAGTGATGCGGCTATTGTAATCACCTTTGGTTTAAAAGTGATGTGACGTGTTAAATAATATGATGCTGCCATGTGTCTCTTTTGTAAGACTTTTTATAAGAGTGTATAACAGTGATAGTTTTGATCCTCCAGTTATTGTGCAAAATTCAAAGACAGAACAAAAAGTGTTACTGTAAGAATAGAGAGGACTAAAAAAGACGAATATCAAGAGTTTCCCCATCACAATAGTTTAAATGATTAAAAGTGGAAAATTTTAAAGAGAGATATTAAAGTGTCACAATATCCAGAAGACCAGAAGCGGAAAAAGATCATAGATTCACACACACACGGAAGGTTTTTGAAGATGAATTTAATGTCTTACCAGCCCGCATCTTCCATCAGTAGCATTAGTCAAAACTCAAAATTAAACGGCTTTACCATTGTTGTTCGGAGCTAATGGAAATATGTTACTTCTCTTGTCATCTAGGACTGTGTAACCCTGAGAAAAAGATGCTGGAACTCCATGCAAAAGACATATGTTCAAAGAGCCCTACTTTACCTACCGATGAAGATGATTAATACCTCCATCTAGTGCCAATAAACGATAAGATTGAATACAGATTGGTAACCACAACTTCATTTTGTATTGATCCTTTTTACCTTTAGTGCTATGTTCACACATGTAGAAGTAGGTATTATTGTGTGTAATGGTTTTACACTGAACATTTCTTGATAGCAATATGATACACAGACCCAGGCAAACAACATACTACATCAGTATAGGCTGTATGTACTTGAAAAAACATGGATTACCTAGCCTTTATAAGGACCAGATGAGCAATTTATGGGGGTTAATATTGTCATTCCATTGTAAGTTGTAACTGACTATTTTGTAATGTAATATGTACTTGTTATTAACTTCAATTTTATTGAATCTGAATTTTGAGTTTGTTCTTTTGCTCTACTCAACTAATTTTTGGGACGGCCCAAAAAGGAAACCGGGAACAATTTTGGGGGACGGAGGGAGTATATATTTACTACTACTATTTTTGCAATCATCTTCTATTTCATGCTGGTACGGTGGTACCTACCTTTTCAGGTTTATACATTATACATTTAGTTGTGCCGTGATAGTTGTATATCCAAATTCTGTAAATGCGCATTCTTTAAAACTTAATGAGCAATCTGCATTTACAAATTAAATTTTTTAGAATAAAAATGTATGGATACAAAAAAGTATGAGCACGTCTGCAAGAGAAAGTAAAAAAGAAATGATCAATGTTTTAAAGGAAGATCGGATCGTACAGAAAAGCAGCATTATTTAAAAATAAATGTGCAACATGCATATGAATTAGCGTTCTTTAGAATAAATGATTGGAATAAAAGATGCCTGAACAGTGAGCATGAGAAGACAAAAAAAAATATCCTTTTCTTTACTGGGACGAAAATCCCTTTAAAGAAAAATGAGTAATCGTTAAGAAAATTACAAAAAATACTGATACTAATAATAACAATTATTATTACTCTGTATTTTATTTGTTTTTAAAATTATTGTTGCTATTTACATTGAAATCTTAAGCATGTTCTCCAAGACTGTTGGACTCATACATAATGGGCTAGTTGTGAGCGTTTTGATGCGTGGCGGACTTCCACCCGGAACCGGTAGACTCCCGGTCCGGTCCCGGGCCTTACTCAAAACCATCCAAGCCCGGTCGGGCCCGGTCCACCCCTATATATAATTGGCCCAGCTCTTGCAACACACTCAGGTTTAGTTAGGCCATGCCTCCAAAAACTAGCTCTATAAGTCAACTACTACTCTGTTAGCATTTATAAGTGAAGTTTCTATTTTCAATGTCCAATTCAAAGTTACTATCAATACTAGGTCATGTTCTACCAATTTAGGTCATGTTTATCAAGACTACGGGAAAAAAAATCTAAGTCCTTGACGCCGACGCCGGGCAAAGCATCAAACTGTTGAAGCACACTGCAGTGAATGACTGACTTGCACATCACAGTTCGACCTCATTAGTTCTAACCATATCTCTTCAACATTGAAAGAACACAATGTAAGTTTTATTTCGTTAGATAGAAATTCATTTGTTTTTTGCAACTAGAAATTCAATTAAAACGTGAAACGCTGTAACCTGCAATGGATTGGAGGTTGAATCGCCAAACTTGAAATGAGCTTGTTATATAGTCACATAATCAACTAATTATTACTATGCTTATAAAGTATTTATCATATGCTCCCCATTTTTTTGTTGTTTAAAGGGCACCAAATTAGAAATTAGTTTTTTAAGTTTATTTTTAAGCTTTATTACAATATGAATTTCAATGGCCCCTAAGAGAAATTTGGTTATGGAGGAATTGAGTGAGGCCTTGAAGGGAAAGCTCAACATCCTTGTTCTTTATCAGTTCCCCGGCTACTTCGGCTGGAGTGACATCTACTTTCTCTAACAGCTCTTCAATTTGTTGGAACAAGGGATGATGATCAAATATCCCCAAATAATTTTTTGCCAATTGCTTGAATGCGGAAAATTTGCAATATGACAAATGTATATGCATATCCATTCTTCCTGGCCTTAACAAGGCAGGATCTAATTTGTCTTTGTGGTTTGTTGTGAGTACAATTATCTTTTCCTCTCCGCAACATGACAATATCCCATCAAGAAAATTAAGCAACCCTGAAAGTGTCACCTACAGAGCAGTAAAAAATGCAACAACTTTAACAATAAATAATAAAGTTATCATCATACTTGCGAATATTAATCTCACTTCAAATATAATCCAGGAAATAAGAATTAGATTTGGACATTATATGATTTTGATCTTTAGATTTATATTTAACTATCACCATATCGCAATAAAATGGCATTCGAGCATATCAAACTTCTAGAATATTCAAGTACGTATTAGATAAATGTAGAAATCTCTATAAAAGGGTGGAAGGTTGTAGAGTTATCTAGAATGTTCTACTTCTTATGTTCGGTTAATGTTGTCTCATTTTTCCTTTTCGAGAAATCCCACTAAGATGGTTTCGTACCAAATTTGATAAAGTTTTTGTGACTCTGAATCATTCTTACTTTATCAATTCAAGCACATAAGTTCTTTAATAACTGTGACACATCGCATGTCCCAGTGTGGGATGGAGGTAGTAATAGGTTGTCCTGTTTTCCTTAACTAGATAGTTGCATTACCTTGTTATGGCGGTTTTCTTTTTCTTCAAGGGACTCCCTATTCTCAAGCTTGATGCTGCAGTCAATATCCTCAATGACAAGGATGGAACGGCTTGACATGGAAAGCAACAACGACCTCAAATTCGTGTTATTGCGAACTTCTGTAAGATCAAGATCGTATATGTCATAGCTAAGATAGTTACACATTGCAGCAATCAAGCTGGACTTTCCTGTTCCCGGAGGACCATACAGCAAGTACCCACGCTTCCAAGGCTTGCCAATCTTCTTGAAGTACTCCTTCCCCTTCAAGAACTTGTCCAAGTCTTCAATAAGCGATGCCTTAACCTGATCATCCATAGCCAATGTGGTGAAAGTCATGGGATGTTGAAGAATGATACTGTTATCTGCAGTGGCAGAGATCAGAAATAGCAGGTTAAGAAATTTCACTATATTAAGGGGTCAAGCTTGAAATTTCGCTATATTTTTTACTGCTTATAAATATTATACATATGTATAATAACAACAACACAAGTTGTTGTTGACATACGTATATACATCACAAAAATTTTCTTGAGCCGAGCCCCCGGCCAGCTCCCTTGTCTCCACCCCTAGTTACCTGTCCATCCTCTATTGATATTTGAGTGCAACTTTGCTTCTCTGGCTTCTTCCCTTATGGCTTTTGATCTGTGCATGACATGTGGGAGGTATGAATTTACCACTTTTTCCTTATGGGTTCTTTGGAAACTTAGCTCGTATACCCGAGCCTCGTACGACCTCGAAGATCCATCGTCTTCGCTCTTCGCTGACTCGAATCTCCTGCAAATGAACTTCCAATTCACTGCAATGTTTTCAAAGTAATCCAGAGTTTCTTCATTCTTGTCCAGAGTCATGATCAGGCTCTTGTCCCCGACTGTTTTGCTGAGTTTGACTCTCTGGGTCAACGGGTGCTCGATCTTGCCGAGGTATACCTCAGCTGCATCGAAAAGCTCGTTTCTTGACAGACCTTGGAACTCTTCAATGGAGATGGTGAATGTAGTAGAGAAACGTCGACAGAAGGCGTCAACGGATTGAAACAGGGAATAACGAAACCTTCTTGGGACTAAGTCTCTCCCCAGCTTATCTACAAAGACGACAGTTGCAGCCAAAGAGGCCATCGTGGTGGCAATCGTCGTCATTTTAGGCAATCTTTGGAGAGCCATTGGTGAATTCTGAATGGAGTTTTTTCTTCAATTTTTGGAGGTCAGTCCGATAGAGATTCTCAATATATACTACGTATACTCCTTACGCAGTACTCCGTAACATTTACTTTGCTGATTTTCTAACATTTACTTTGCTGATTTTGGGGTTTGATGGACTTTGTAAACTTATTCCTTCCAATTAGTAATCAAAATTAGAAATTACGTATTAAAATATACTCCATACGTAGTACTTCTCTGTCTCTTGATGATTTTACTTGAAGATTTTCGGTCCCCATCAAATTATACCCGAAATAGGATTAAAACAATTTGAAAATACCAAAATAGAACTGCCATGTTTTTATTCTCAAAACATGTCAGTATTTTCTAAACATGACAGTAACTAGTCCTATTTTGGGAATAAAAAACATGACAATCCTATTTTGGAATTTTGAAACTGTTTTAGTTCTATTTCGGGAACTTTCCCTTATTTCACAGAGATCATACGTTTATCAGACCAGGTCAGATCAGACCAAACCAGAAAATATCAATCCAAGTAAAAACATCCTTAGTGGTCTTTTATTTTTCCGATGAAAACTAAAATTAAATTTTGATTGATAAATACACGAAGTATTTATATTATGAGAATGACAACAAAATCTTTTTAGTTAATTAATAATAATAATAATAGCCCATTCAAAAAATTGTAAAAATAATAGCGCAATACCAGGTTTAGATGACCGGAAAACATCTTTAGTAAAGTCTTCTTTCAAAAAGAAAATATTTAGAGAACTTTCCTAGAAAGAGAAATATTATGATGTTTCGTTACACCAAGCCGTCCAAGTGCCGTAGAAATAGAAATACTTCAATGACATGATGTATGTTCTGACGACGGGTGAGTTTGATTTGCCATTTACGGGAGTAAATGGTTACGAATAGGAGTAAAATTTACTCCGTTTACTAAAATAGGAGTGCGATTCTTTTAAATCAGAAATAGGAGTATATTTTATTGATCTGTCATTTTTACCCCTGCTATCTTTGTTTCAAGCGGAAGATAGAAGAAACGCATACACTACATCCGCGATTTGGATATCAGGAGAGTAGTGGAGGTCTTCAATCAATGGTGAAGGAGGATGCACAACTGCAAAGACGGTGAAGTTGCAGTGGCCAACCCTACTCTTCTCTGGTTCTCCCTCTTTTGTGTTCGATGATCGGCCATGATTTTGACCCTGGCGGCAGATTTAGTCTTTTCCGGTAGAGATGTGATGCTAGCAGAATGAGTGCCAGTCGATAGCCATACGGTGACAACTCTAGAGGTTTCCACAATTGATGATGCCTTCCTATAATTAACAGAACAGTTGGAGATGTTGTGTTGCTTTTTTGTTTATTAAAAATGCCAAATTGTATTCTCAAAATGTCATTAAAATTGTTTTATTACTCTTCAAACATGTCATATTTTAATTAGAAAATGCCATTAATATGACCTTGTTGGTTCAATTTGGCATTCCCAAAAAAAAGTTTGGCATTTTTTGCGGTCGTCAGCAGTGACTGTGTTGCGAGGCCGAGATAGGTACTGCCCGTTCTCTTGGGTTTACTTGTTTTAAGAATCAAGTGTCATGGTCCGGACGATCCTTCCCGTGCGAGAAACGTTCCCTCCTTTTTTGTTTCCCACGTGATAAGGCCGCTCGGTACTAATGTTTTCCTTTGTTATTTTTCAGCTCCCAATCGAGACGCTCCAATGGACAACAGCCATGTGCTAGCAGCCGGTGGTGTGGGGAAAAGGAAGAAGGTCAGTAAAACCCCCAAGGCCAACCCTTCTACTGCCAGTAATCAAGAGGCAGGCTCTTCTCAACCTGTTCGAGAGCCTGAGCCCATTCAACAGGTTCCTCACCGGGATCAGCTGGAGGACATGCTGGTCGACGATCGGTTTGGGTCCGATCAACTGCATAGCTTCACTGAGCACTTCCAGGTTGCTCAGGATGCCAATCAGGATACAGGTGGCACTCATACCGTCCACTTTTCCGGCCAAGTCGACCGGATCTCATTGGCAGATCCGATTCACGAAGTTGTAGAGAAGACTGGCTGTTCGGCGAGTCAAATTTGATCTACCTCCGCATTTTTCAACAACTTTACTGTTCCTAAACTGCCGGTCGAGCAGTCGGAGGAATGTTTGGTCTTAGCGGCCTGGAAGGTACTTGAATTTTTTCCCTATACTTTGTTTCATATGTTTACCCTTTTTTCCATATGTTAACTTTTGGAAAAATGTGTTTAAAATCGCATTAAATGGTCTTTTTGGGGCAATTATTTGAGTGGGTTCCACTTCCGATTTGGGTCGGGTTAAAGTGGTTTCGGATTGTCCTTGTTAAGGGCTACAAATCGATATGTGGTACACTCAAAACAGATAACGGGTGAATAAGAAATTGATTCTCGAACTTCACTCGTTGAAATGGAAAAACTGGGAAAATGGTGAGTTTCTAGTGTGTTTTATCCCACACCGAAAAACTCAAGGGATTTTCACCACCTTATAAAGGGAAGCCTCTTTTAAGGAGTTAAGATTCCTAAAGGGAAAGACTCTCTCTTACACGCAGGGGGGTAGGGGGGGGGGGGTGCCGATCAAATCCCGAAACGGAGAAGAAAAACCGCGACTCGTGTGCGCGGGCGACCTGCGGACACGAATGTCGTCCAAAAACCTATCATTCAAAGATACGGTCTAGGTCTTCTGTTCGCAACAGAGACCCTCGAGGCCTTCTGTTCGCAACAGAAGGTCTTCTGGTCCGTTACAACAATTAATGCCCAACGTTCTTCTCTTTTAATGCTGCGTTAAATGGACAGTTTATGGACGATTCAATGCTCAACGGACTGGTCATTGATGTCCAACGTTCAGGTCCATTAACACCCCATTTAACACACAACAAATCTTCCTATAAATAGCTGGCAGGTGGTTTGCAGCAACACAACGCACAATACATTCCTCACGTATTCTTGAGCTACAAACACCTACAGCTACTCAGAAAATTCCTTCTGTGTTCTTACTTGGTTCTCGTTCGCTGGAACTCTTGTTTGTGTGCTCAAACACTAGTTCGTAGTCATCGTATCCTGGGAAAGGATTGTTGCAACGCTCCTAGCACTGTGGGAGGCAACAAATACGTTTTAAGGACATCGTGCGTAGCATGAGCTTTGACTAGGGGTGGATTCGGTTCGGGCCACCCGGCCCGTGACCCGGCCCGGCCCGGTACTGTGCGGGCCCGGGACCGGCCCGGTCGGGCGGTCCGGGACCGGGTATGGACCCGAACCGGTGGGAATGGGCGGGCTCGGTGCTGGATTAATGTGACCCGGCCCGGCCGGGTCGGGCCTGGGCCCGGGTCCGGTCTTAATTTAAAAAAAAAATTGGGTCTTGGGCTCTTGGCTAGTGGGCTACTAGCCGTTGGGGGTGGGGCTGGGGACAACCCAAACGGCTATATAGCCGTTGGGTGGGGTAAAGGGGGGGGGGGGGAGTCCGGGGGGTTGGCTGGTGGTGGGGGTGGTGGGGGGGGGGGGGGTTGGGGGGTAAAAAACCTATAAATACTCCTAATCTTAAACATTTTTTCATATCTCTTCTCCAATTCTTCCTAAATCCTATTCTTAACTCTCTACTCTCTAATTCTCTTATTCTCCATTCTCCAATATATTATATTTATTATTTATAGTTGATGGATAGTCTACCCGGGGGTGTATATCCGAAGGGTTATTGCGGGAAGTAACTTAGAGAGAAGTCAGAGCAAGTAAGTAAAAGTAGAGAGAGAGTGTATTCAGTATGAATGCCGTTTTTAGCGTCTTTACAAATGAGGAAATGGGGTGCTATTTATAGTAGCAATAAATGCCGGGCAGGGACACGTGTCAAGCGCTCATTGGTCGAGGGGTCACCTCAACTGGTTGGCGCTGGCAGCCGCATGTGGCCGCATTTAATGCGGCTGTTGGATGGGACGTCTGTGCGGGGCACGATGATCTGTACGCATGTGAGGCGGATATCTTGTCGAGTGAGATGCCTTCGGCTATAGAGCAGTAGCCGAGGGCTCTTCCACCCAATGGCACCCTGGTGCCGAGGGCTCATAATGCCGAGGGCTACTGTTTTCGCCGTTTTCTCCCAGTTTCTTAATTTGCTTGAGAAACCCGTTCTGTGAGAATTTAGAGCCTTCGGCCGGGGGGCCGAAGGCACCCCTGGCGCGTAGTGCGGGCTGCTTGGTACTCTGGGCGCTGTGATTTGGGCCTGTTGGGCCTTTGCTGGAGTAGTAGGAGTCTGTGGGCCGGGGGTTCCCGGGCCATATACTCCATCAATAGTTTATATTAATTATCTACTTATATAAACTATAAATAGATATAAATAGTATTATATTACTTATATTTGTTATCTAATTATATATTACTTATATATTTATTATATCTATTAATATAGTTGGAATTATATCTAATTAATTTGAAGTCATTCTATTACTCCCATCCGAAAGACCGAAAGTCCGAAAGAGGTACGAAATTATTCTATTATTTACACTTGTTTAATTACTAGTTAATTTGCTACATTTGACTCTTGTTTAATAGTTAGATAAATAGTTAATTAGTTTTTTACATTTTTTTATTAATCGCTACATTTGACTCTAGTTTAAAAAATATGTTGTACACAAAACTAGTTAATTCACTACTTAATTTGCTATAACTCGAATTAATAGTTAGATAAATAGTTAATTAGTTTTTTACAATTTTTTATTAATTGCTACATTTGACTCTAGTTTAAAAAATATGTTGTACACAAAACTAGTTAATTCACTACTTAATTTGCTATAACTCGATTTAATAGTTAGATAAATAGTTAATTAGTTTTTACAATTTTTTATTAATTGCTACATTTGACTCTAGTTTAAAAAATATGTTGTACACAAAACTAGTTAATTCACTACTTAATTTGCTATAACTCGAATTAATAGTTAGATAAATAGTTAATTAGTTTTTTACAATTTTTTATTAATTGCTACATTTGACTCTAGTTTAAAAAATATGTTGTACACAAAACTAGTTAATTCACTACTTAATTTGCTATAACTCGAATTAATAGTTAGATAAATAGTTAATTAGTTTTTTACAATTTTTTATTAATTGCTACATTTGACTCTAGTTTAAAAAATATGTTGTACACAAAACTAGTTAATTCACTACTTAATTTGCTATAACTCGAATTAATAGTTAGATAAATAGTTAATTAGTTTTTTACAATTTTTTATTAATTGCTACATTTGACTCTAGTTTAAAAAATATGTTGTACACAAAACTAGTTAATTCAGTACTTAATTTGCTATAACTCGAATTAATAGTTAGATAAATAGTTAATTAGTTTTTTACAATTTTTTTATTAATTGCTACATTTGACTCTAGTTTAAAAAATATGTTGTACACAAAACTAGTTAATTCACTACTTAATTTGCTATAACTCGAATTAATAGTTAGATAAATAGTTAATTAGTTTTTTACAATTTTTTATTAATTGCTACATTTGACTCTATTTTAAAAAATATGTTGTACACAAAACTAGTTAATTCACTACTTAATTTGCTATAACTCGATTTAATAGTTACATAAATAGTTAATTAGTTTTTTACAAGTTTTTATTAATCGCTACATTTTTTAGATGGATCGTCCTAGATATTCGGTTGATATGGGTAACCTCGAGCGCAACCGAACGAAAGAGCTTGCGAGGAAGAGATCCCGCAAAGGTAAATCACATATCGGCTCTTCATCTCAAAGTCGAGATGATTTTGATACGGGTTACGTAAGGAGGGATGAGGATGCGATGACCGACGAACAACTAGAACAAGAATTGCACCGACATAATTCCCGCTTTTTTCAAGACCAACCGAGGACCATTGACGAATAAGAGCTCGAGGACGAGGACGACGATGTGGAGGAAGCAATTCCGGAGAGCCACAACGACGAGGAGGAGGAGGGTGGCGGCAGCCATGACGCCGACCAAGCAGCCTCATCCCAAACAGGTACAAAAAAAAGTAAATCTGAATTAATGGCTAATAATTTTTCTAAGTGGAAGGACCCGAACACCGAGAATTGGACCGCAACTTGCAATTGGTGCAAGAAAAACTATAGCTTGGGGATTTCCGGCGGATACGGATCCGCCACAAGACACCTTAAGTCCAAACACCCGGTGGAGTATGCAAAATTAGGCGGCGGAACGGAGAAGCAAACGCAAATATCGAGGTTTAAATCCGCAATATAGAGGTTATAGTCGCAAAACGGTTAAGAAAGAAATTTCAAGGCTTTATGGTGCGGAAAAGGTAAGGTTACAAAATTATTTTGCAAACTTTGATGGACGTGTTACTGTATGTTCTGACATATGGGAGGATACTTATCATAATTTACATTATTTGGGTCTGACTGTACATTATATTGATAATGATTGGCATATGCATAAACGTGTTCTTGCTTTCCGTGAATTTAATGATCATCACACCGCTGAACATATTTATATTTTGATTGAACGTATTTTAATTGAGTATAATTTAATTGATAAGGTGTTTGCTATTGGTTTTGATAATGCTACTAATAATACTGCTGCTATTCCTAGATTGCGTGAATTGTGTGGTTCTACTTCTTTGATGGGTAGATTTTTTCATCAACGATGTGCATGTCATGTTCTAAATTTATGTGTGCAAGATGGTCTAAAAGCGTTGGGAGCATCGTTGGAGGTAGTCAAGGGGAGGATTAGACGTATTTGGGGTAATGGACAACTTAGGAAAAAATGGCATGATTATTTGATAGAAAGAGGTGAGAGATATGTGGCTTTTCCAAAAGATTTGTCTATTCGTTGGAATAGTACCTATAAGTTAATTGGAGTTCTTCTTAAATACAAACAACATTTTCCTGCTTTTATGAAACAATATGATAACTATATTATAAACTCGGCTGAGATCGACACATGTGAAAAAATTTGTAATGCTTTGATATATTTTAATAATGCAACTGAAACTTTTAGTCATGTCTATAAACCTACCTCAAACCTATTTATTCGTGAAGCTATTAATCTCGCCGGTGCTTTTTCAAATTTTGAGAATGCTGATTATGTGAGTTATTTTGCTGGTTTTATGAAGGAAAAGTTTTTAAAATATTATTCACATATTCCGCATATTTATGCTATTGCATTTGTTCTCGATCCTCGTTTTAGACTTGGTTCTTTAGAAGAATGTTTGAATTATAATTATGCTGCTTTTTTTGGTCCATTGCCAATGTATGAGGACAACCCAATTGATCCGAAAAAAGAATACAACGAGGTTAGTGATATATTTTATGCATTATTCAATGAGTTTCATGCACTATATGGCAATGCGCCCCCTCCCCCGACACAAACATCATCTAAAGGAAAATCAATTTTCAAATCTACGTTTTGCCAATCTTATTAAAAAAACGAAATCAACTCCCGCTACACAACAAAGCACAATTAATGAGATTTCTTTGTATTTAACTTATGATGTTAATTTTGAAGAAGATGATGATTTTGACGTACTAAACTGGTGGAAGAGAAAAGAAAGAATGTTCCCGGTTTTAGCAAAGATGGCTAAGCAAGTGCTATCAATGCCGGTTTCAACGGTTGCCGTGGAACAAGAATTTAGTTCGGCCGGCAATGTTCTAACACAAACCAGAACGAGGTTGAGCGCTGAATCTCTTGAGATGCTTATATGCTAACACGATTGGTTGAAAGCAGCACGTAGAGCTCAAGAAATTGACATCACTCCATCCCAACACTTTATGGATGAATCTACAACAGAGGGTGACTCTACCTATGCCGGAGATTCCGATTAAAAACAATTATAGTTCCTATTTAATTTTCAAATGTAGTTCCTATTTCATTTCAAATAAATGCACTTGAAGTTTGTTTTTTAATACTTGTATAAAACTATAAAGTATAAAATATAAATTAAAAAAATATATATTTAACCGGCCCGGCCCGGCCCGGCGGGTGGCCCGAACCGTGACCCGGGCGGGTGGCCCGGCCCGAACCGGACCCGTCCAACCCTCGGGCCGGTCCCGGGCCCATGTGATACGAACCGGCGGCCCGACCGGGCCTGACCCGGCATGAATCCATCCCTAGCTTTGACTAATTCTGCTTGATCTCCTTTCTTGTTTTTCTCTAGTCATTTTATTTAATTAATTAATTTTATTTAATTTTCTTTATTTTCCGAAACACACCCAACAATCTTAAAACGTATTTGTTGATTGTTCTACTGTGATAAACAATCTTAAATCGTAGTTTGTCACTTTGGTGAACAAACTTATTTTTTTGTGTTTTCGGAAAAACGTTAAAGAACGAAAATGACTTCTCAAGAAAACGAGATTGGTGTTGGGCAGAATGTTCCGAACGACAATCACTCTGAAAGTGGAGCACCGGTGAACAATGGTTCACAACGCGGTGCATCTACTTTGGGCAACCAAGGGGCAATCCCTATGGTTACCGTGCCGAGCAACTCTGTGGAGAAATCCGAAAAATTTAACGGGTTAAACTTCAAGAGGTGGCAGCAAAAGATGCTATTCTATCTCACTACTCTCGGTCTTGTAAGGTTCTTGACCGAAGATGCGCTGGTAGCAACCGGGGGTGAGGTGGATGCACAATCTTTCAACGCGGTTGAAGCTTGGAAGCATTCTGACTTCCTTTTCCGAAACTATGTGTTGAACGGACTGCATGATGCTTTGTACGACGTGTATAGCAAACTAGCTACGGCTAAGGAGCTATGGAATGCTTTGGACCACAAATATAAAAGCGAGGATGCCGGCGCAAATAAATTTGTTGTTGGTCGATTCCTTGATTTTAAAATGGTGGATTCGAAGACGGTCTTGAGTCAAGTTGAGGAAATGCAAATGATCTTCAACGAAATTCGAGATGAAGGAATGACAGTTAGTGAGTCTTTCCAAGTGGCGTCAATTATCCATTTATTGCCGCCGGCTTGGAAGGATTTCAAGAACTACCTTAAGCATAAGCGAAAGGAAATGAACTTGGAGCAATTGATCCTCCGTCTGCGGATTGAAGAGGATAACCGGAAGAACGATGGGAAACTCCCAATTGTTCATGGCGCCAAGGCAAACATGGTGGAGCATGCAAAAGGCTCCAAAACCAAGAATAATGGGAAGAGCAAGCTCGGTCCCAAGGGAGGTATTTCCAAGACTAAGTTCAACGGAAAATGCTTCAATTGATATAAAAACGGACACAAGTCCGCGGATTGCAAGGCACCCAAGAAGAAGAGGGACTCTCAAGTCAACTTGGTGCAAGGTGAGCAAAAGGATGAAGACATCATCCTAGCGGCTGTGGTTACGGAAGTCAACCTCGTTGGATCCAATTCCAAGGAGTGGTTTGTGGACACCGGTGCAACCCGGCATATTTGCTCAAACCGGGAGTTATTCACAACTTTTGAGCCATCAAATGGTGAGAAAGTGTGGATGGGTAACTCGGCTCATTCCGCGGTTGAAGGCGTGGGCAAGGTGGTCCTGAAGATGACTTCGGGCAAAGAACTGACTCTCAACCAAGTGCTGTTTGTTCCGGAAATACGCAAAAACCTGATTTCCGGCTCGTTGTTGAACAAGCATGGCTTCCGCATGGTCTTTGAGTCGGACAAACTGGTTTTGTCTAAATCGGGAATGTATGTGGGCAAGGGATATACATGTGATGGGCTTTTTAAGCTCAATGTAATGACTATTATTATTAATAATAATAAAATCCCTTCTGCTTACTTGCTTGAGTCTTCTAATGTGTAGCATGTTAGACTAGGACATATTAATTTTAATTCTATACGTAGATTGATTAGCATGGAGCACATTCCTAAATTCACAATTGATGTGAAACACAAATGTGAAGTTTGTGTAGAGGCAAAACTAACGAAAACGTCTTTCAAATCGGTTGAAAGAAAAACGGAACCACTTGAATTAATTCATAGTGACGTTTGTGATTTTAAATCAATACAAACACGTGGCGGTAATAAATATTTTATTACCTTTATCGATGATAGAACTCGCTATAGCTACGTTTATTTATTAAAAAATAAACACGAAACAATCGATAAATTCATTCTTTATAAGAATGAAGTGGAAAACCAACTTAATCGAAGGATTAAGACGGTTAGGAGTGATCGAGGTGGTGAGTATGAAACACCAATTGGTGACTTTTGCGCTAGTGTGGGTATAGTACACGAACGTACCGCACCCTATTCACCTCAATCAAACGGTGTTGCCGAACGAAAGAATCGCACATTGAAAGATATGATGAATGCGATGCTAGTAAGTTCGGCCTTGCCACAAAATATGTGGGACGAAGCAATCTTGACAAGCAATTACCTTTTAAATAAGGTTCCCCGGAAAAAATATGATAAAACTCCGTACGAGTTGTGGAAAGGCAGAAGGTCTTCCTATCAATATTTAAAAGTGTGGGGGTGTCTTGCAAAGGTGCTTGTACCAACACCTAAGAAAATAAAAATAGGTCCAAAAACGGTGGATTGTATTTTTATTGGGTATGCACAAAATAGTAGTGCTTATCGGTTTTTAGTGTACGATTCGAATAATCCGGATGTACATAAAAACACAATAATTGAATCAAGGAATGCCTCATTCTTTGAAGATGTATTTCCATACAAGTCCAACGATGGGCCTAGCACGTCAAAACGAACATTTGACGTAGCTATGGAAAATACTAGCGAGGGATCCGGAGAAGAACCCGAACCCAGGCGTAGCAAACGTGCTAGAATTGAAAAATCCTTCGGACGGATTTTCTCACCTACCTGGTAGAAGTTGACTCGGATATTCTAACATGTATGGTAGAAAATGAATCGGATTTTCTAACATGTTTGGTAGAAAATGAGCCACGGACTTATACGGAAGCCGTGACGTCTACTGAAGGTCCTATGTGGAAAGAAGCCATCAAAAGTGAGGTGGATTCTATCCTTAAAAATCACACATGGGAATGGGTTGATCTTCCTCCGGGAAATAAACCTTTGGGATCCAAGTGGATTTTTAAACGGAAAATGAAACCTGACGGTTCCATCGATAAGTACAAGGCCAGACTTGTAATCAAGGGATACAAGCAACGTGAGGGCCATGATTACTTTGACACATATTCTCCTGTGACGAGAATAAATTCCATTAGGATGATACTAGCAATTGCCGCATTGCGGAAATTGGAAGTTCATCAAATGGACGTAAAAACCGCTTTTCTAAATGGCGATATAGACGAAGAAATCTATATGGAACAGCTAGAAGGCTTTCGTGTTCCAGGCCATGAAAGGAAAGTGTGTAAATTAATTAAATCATTGTATGGATTGAAACAAGCCCCTAAACAGTGGCACGAAAAGTTCGATCATGCAATGTTAATTAATGGGTTTAAAATAAACGAAAGTGACAAATGCGTCTATGTGAAGAGCACGGTAGACGGCTATGTCATTTTATGTTTATATGTGGATGATATACTCCACGTGGGTAGCAATAATCTAATGATTAGTTCTACCAAAAGCATGTTAAATTCTAAGTTTGACATGAAGGATATGGGGCTGGCCGATTTAATCCTTGGGATTAAAATAATTAGAGGACCTGAAGGTCTTACGCTAAGCCAATCCCATTACGTTGATAAAATCCTTACGAAATTTAATAAGGATGATTATCAAGAGGCAAGGACTCCATTGGATAAAAACGTACAACTTACCAAAAATCGTGGAGAGTGTATTTCTCAAGTAGAATACGCTAGGATTATTGGAAGCTTGATGTATCTAATGATTTGTACCAGACCTGATATTGCCTTTGTGCAACCCCAGTGATGAACACTGGAAGGCAATAATACGGGTTTTGAGGTATTTACGTAAAACCCAAAACCTTGGACTGCACTATGGAAGATATCCAGCTGTACTTGAAGGGTATAGCGACGCTAGTTGGATATCTGACATAAAGGACTCTAATTCCACAAGTGGATATGTTTTCACTTTGGGAGGTGCAGCCGTGTCGTGGAAATCCTCGAAACAAACGTTAATAGCTAGATCCACGATGGAATCTGAGCTAATAGCCTTGGATAAGTGCACTGAAGAGGCTGAATGGCTACGCCATTTTCTCGAAGATATTCCAAGTTGGGAGAAGCCTGTCCCTCCAATATGAATTCATTGCGATTGTCAAGCGGCAATTGGAAGGGCACAGAGCAATCTCTACAATGGTAAGTTTAGACACATCCGTCGTAGACATAACACCATTAAACAACTCCTCACAACGGGTGTTATCACTGTTGACTACGTGAAGTCAATGGATAACATAGCGGATCCGCTAATCAAGGCATTGGATAGAGAATTGTTGGAGAAGTTGTCACGAGGAATGGGACTAAAGCCCGTGAATTGAAAAGTTCTATAGTGGATACCCAACCTAGTTGGTCCTAGGTTCAAAAGGGACAACTAAATTATAGAGCGAAGGATGGTCATTGTGGGGGTCCCGGACTCCTACCCACTCCTCGTTAAAACAGTGACTCCCGCACGAGGTTAGCAAAAACGTTTGCTTTAATGATTCTAAAATGTTGATCTACTCGATAACATTGGAAGAGTATGCGGGATACTCATGAAAGAATCACCTATGTGAGAGAGAAGAGGGCCGCTTCAAAGGAGAACTGTAATGGCTCAGTTCTTTAAAAACTCTTGCAGAACCAGGACGGTGACCCATGGCCAAAACGGGCGCACCCATGAGAACGGAACAAAGTTGGAAGGTTCTTGTGTAAAGATAACTCAATGTTTACACGACGGCAGTATAGTTCAAGGACATCGAGTCTACTAGACAGCTAGTAAATAAACGTGTCTTTACAACTA